CATATTTTTAGTGGCTATAAGTTGTATGAAACGTCTTACAATATGTTAAATAAAAAAGAAAACACATATATACCTTTCTCGCAGTGCTTTTAATTCTTCCATGTTATTTGGAAATTTAATAAATCTATGCATTATATCTGGCTCATTAAGAATATCAGCAATAGTTTTTATGCATTTACTGACTGTGCCCTGTCTAACAGATAGAAATAAATTTCTCCCCACTGCTTCTTGATAACAACCATGGCCAAAAAAGTTTAACGCAATAAGAACCTAAAGAAAACCAAATTATAGATACAATAGTTATAAAAAAAGATCTTGTTTACCATAGTTTGGACATTGAGAGCTGAACGACTTATGCGCTGAGGAACAAATGGTGAAACAATTTCAATTAACTCCCTCACTAAGTTTTTGGACAGTCTAAATAATTTAATGAATTGCAAATCGCTTATCCTAAAAACGTCATGACGCGGGTAAACTGTACGCCCTGGATTATGTGCGAGATTTTCAGCATCTACTACATCTTCAAAAATTTGATTAATAATGAGCGCTTCTTCGATGTCCATTTTTTTCTCCTAAGTCCTAAACTAATGCAAAAGATCTTGTCACAAATATTTTCTTTTTCTATACAATTTCCACAAAACACTGCTTACTTCCTAAGACAACCCTTACTTCACTCTGACAAGACTCTTGGCCTTGTACACACATGGAGGAAGGGTACACACACCCCTAATCACGTGGTCAATTTCTCCTGAGAATATGAATTCTCTCGAAATAAACCGAGAGAAAAGGTCAGTGAGTAGTCATGAGGTAGTCACTGGTTTTCAAAATACAGTTTCCACGTTGACATATGACATTTCTCCTGAAATCTTGAGAGAAATGAGTACTCACACGGTTTGAAAATAGGTCCCCAGGGGACCTATTTTCAAACCGTGTGAGTACTCATTTCTCTCAAGATTCTCATCAGAAATGTCATACGTCAATGTGGAAACGCTGTTTTTAAAGGCCTCGAGGATTAAAATTCTTAGGAGGATATTAATTATCTCTAAATAAACCGTGAGGAACAATCAGTGAGTTTACACTGGCCCTTAGGACCCTAAAAATACTGTTTTACGTTGACGTATGACATTTCTCTCGAGAGAAATGAATTCTCTCGACTTTGAAAATAGCACCCCTGGGGGTCGATTCTCGACTATTTTCCTATAGGAATTAGGTTGATTTTCCTATAGGAAAGTAGGTTACGTATTCTGGAGTCAAGTTGTAGGAATATTTTGCTAAGCAGTTATAGGAAATGATTTCCCATGCTCATGAGACAGGGAATTTAATTTTCCTACAAGATTTTGTAATCGCGCTTGCGCAATAGTAGCTTGTTTAATGTGGTTTATTGATTTATGCAAATTTTTTAGGCGATTCCAAACTCATTTAAAAAAGAAATATACTACATATATTATTAAAAGTTAATTTTAATTTGACGAGTAAAATTATCCTATTTGAAATGTCTTTAAGTCAATAAATAAAATAAACCAAAATCCATAAATTTTTATGAAAATTTACCAAAGAAACTAGTTACTTTTGAGTCTTTTTTTTGTAAAATTCGCACATCAGGATTCCTCGACGGAGCCCAAACCAAGTTATAATGATGTATGTTGTGAATTTTACTATAATTTGCTAAATATTGAAAGTATTCCTATATTTTTGGATTTCAAATCAGAAATTAGAGGATACAAGCATTAACCTTTTGGTGTAGGAAAAACATTTGTACTAGTTACTTTCTTTAGTTTCTACTTATAAATATAAAAAACGGTAATCACAATGGTAGTCATTCTGAAACTTTTTCGTTTTCTCTTTTTGCTGCTAATAAAAAATATTAAAAATAAATAACCAGTACATCCAGAAAATCAAATATTTTTAACAAATTGTCAAATTGCCTTGTTGCCAACTGTTAAACAACTATATTTAACTGAAATAAATACATTCCATTGGCTCGTTTTTGCGTTATCTTGAAATTATCAACGACATACTGAAATTGGAACTCCTACAGGAAATTGGATTCCTATTGTACTCGAGAATACCGATAACTAAAACTGTAGGAATATTATCATAGGAATTCATTTTCCTCGGAATCAAATTCCTACAACTCGAGAATCGACCCCCTGGGGGTCGATTCTCGACTTTTATTCCCATGGGAAAATAAAATTTTCCCATGGGAATTCAGTTTTCGTATTCTCGGCATAAGGGGTGGAATATTTTCCAATGAGAAGTATGGGAAAATATTCCCCTGCTTGCGAGCATTGGAAATTGTGTTTTCCAATGGGAATTGTACTAGAGTTTGCGCATTAAAGTCGAAAATTTGACGAAAGACCACGCGAAGGACTAAGACATAACCAAAGATTATTGGATATCTTGGAATTTGGGGAAATTGTAGTTAAAACATGTTTTTTGTGTATTTATAAATTGATATTATTTTATTTATGTGGGTATATTATTTTTACCTCTCTTTCACTAAGAAACTGATTTTCTTAAATTAGTTAGAAATTGTGGGAGCTGCTAAGGGACTGGCAAATAGGTAACACAAATTGAGAAATTTGTAGTAAATTTAATAAGACCTTTTCGAAAATTTTATTATTTCCGTTAACGAAAGAATTTCTTATATATATAGTTTCTCGAAACTTTCGTTGCTCTTCTATACAAAAGCTACTTTCTCTTTTTTCAATATGTGAAAAGAAAAACTAAAAATAACTCGATAAGTTTTAATTATACATAATCGAATATTTTCACTTGTCCTCGGTCGTCAAGCTAGCGATTGCTCGGCACGGCATCTGCTCCAGCGCAGAGGCTCGGCAGGTAATCGGTTACCCAAAAACCACAACAAATACAAATAATACCAACAGTAAATTTTAAAATATCTTGAATGTTATTGGTTATTTCGAAATATTCGTGAACTTAATATCAGACATACGTGAAACTATTATTTCCATGGGAATGTCTATTCCGACAAGTTCGAGAATTGCATAACCTATTACCATGGGAATATAAGCAGTGGAATCTTTTCCCATGGGAAAATTTTCCAATGAACTCGAGAATCGAGCCCCTGGGGTGCTATTTTCAAACTCGAGAGAATTCATTTCTCTCGAGAGAAATGTCATACGTCAACGTAAAACAGTATTTTTAGGGTCCTAAGGGCCAGTGTAAACTCACTGATTGTTTCTCACGGTTTATTTAGAGATAATTAATATCCTCCTAAGAATTTTAATCCTCGAGGCCTTTAAAAACAGCGTTTCCACATTGACGTATGACATTTCTGATGAGAATCTTGAGAGAAATGAGTACTCACACGGTTTGAAAATAGGTCCCCTGGTGGAGAAAATATCCACCAGTGGACACCACATCGCCGACAGGAAGGTTTAGTGGATTTTACACCGGGCCGAACGAAAGGTTTAGTGTACGTTGGTGTAGTTCATTCCTACACCAGTGGGACGAACGAAAGAACCTAGAGGTTCCTCCGACATAAAACTAAACGTTCTGAATTCAGATTCAGATTTGTAATGTTTACGAGGCGAGTTCGGATAGTCAGGGGCTGGAGCGGGACAAATTTTAGGGGCCTATTCAGTAACTCTAAACGACGTCGTTAATAGACGATAATCGTTCACAGACGACTTTTCTTATTCAGTAGACAACGATTGTCGTTGAAAATAGACAAACATGGTTGTAAAATTGTCGTTCATCAACGATAGCCAAAGAGCTGTCGTTAATAATATGAAGTGTCGTTATAGTGATTTTTGCATTCCCTCTCATTTTTTATTGTGAATCAGTATATGTTCTAAATAATAAAAACACTTTTTTACAAATTTTACAACTAAATTGCCATATACCTAATACAAGTAAAATTTGTAAGGAATTTTTTTCTAATTTATTTAATTATTTTAAAAATAAATCTGATTCAAAGTTAGGATTGCCCATTCAATCATTTACTATTAGATTCTTATTAACAGTGATGTTCCTAAAGTAGCACTGCGAAACTGTAACAAAACCTATATTATGGAAGTACCTATAATACTTCTCCGTAACCTACACAAATTTGGTTTGTTTTTCAAATCCAATAAATACAACTTGTACTGTTCTCGAGTTGTTTTTTGTTTTTTTTAATATATCTATACTCATTTAAATAAACCCTACATACAATATGACCAGCAAAAATGGCCCGCGAGAAACAGAATTCCTACGAATCGAGAATCGACCCCCTGATCGTGTGGTAGAATTTTTATTTTACGTTCAAAAAAATGTCAAATATACCGGGTGTTCAAATTAAAGGGTTACAGTTAAATACCGCCTTTTATAAAAAAATCAAAGTTTAATAATTTTTTGGGTAAAACATTTTAGCTAAAATTGTTTTTTTATAGCAAACCGCATAATATGGCCAACTTTTTTTCGCGCAGCAAAATTTTCAAGTAGATGTTACTCAATAAGTAGAAATCCAATAAAAAAATGTTTCCTTTAGAAGTTTGAATACCTATGTAAAAAAATAGGGTTCCAATTTGAAAAAAAATCCACCTCGATATGGCCATATTATGGTCAGCTATAAAAAAAATAATTTGGCCAAAATGTTTCCCCTAAAAAACTATAAAATTTCTGTCTGATACTTTTTTTTTATAAAATTCATATTTTTGGCGATATTTAACTGTAAAACTTTAATTTAAACACCCGGTATAATCATCAACATACGTTCTTTTATCACAAAACACTAAATTATAATACCAACTTACTAGAAATCATCGTTCAGATTTGGTAACTAGAAACAACGTATTAACGACTTTGTTATTGAATAGAGTTTCAAAAATTATCGTTATAAAAGTCGTTGGTTGAACTGTCGTTAGCTTAACGATGTCGTTCATAAACGATAAATTACTGAATAGGGCCCACTGAACTGAAGTATACAGTTCACTGATAGGGCCCTATAAGAGCTGAATTCGGATCACACTTTGTTTATATCACGACATATTTTGAAATGTTGGCAAGCCTGTAATATGACGTCAGTCGCCTTTACATCAAACGTCAATGGTGCGTCAAATTATTTTGGAATTTAAAAGAGCCCCAAAGAAGTCTCCACTTCAAAGATAACCCTTTTTATTTTTCTATGGAAGAGCACCTATGGGAAAAGGCTAGAAAATTATCCTAAAGTATAATATAATAAAACAGTTTTAAATTTGAAATATGAATCCAGGAAAGAAAATATCCTTTGGATTTAGTAAATTAAGCAAGAAACCTCAAATTATCAGTAAACCAAAAGAAAAACAATTGGAATTTGTTGACCATTTAGAAGGACAATCTATAAAATTAAAGAAGTAAATTAATATTAATAATTTGCCTAAAAATAATACATTTCATATTTATGACCAATTTTGTCCTTGCCATTTTTGTTATACTTATTTTTACTTTTTAGTGAACAACAAACCATTGAAAAGGAACCGCTGATTATTCCATTGCGAGATAATAAAAAAGATCTAATGGATAGAGTGAGAGATATGAAAGCTAAACAAAAATCCAATGCAGAAATAGAAGATAATAGACCTGATTCTGAGTTGACTGAAGATGAATTAGCAGCCAGAGAACTACTAAGAGGTAATGAAAATATAATTCCTCTTAAAATTAACATGTATTTTATTTTGTATCACATGTTCTGAAGCTAAGCCTGATCATTATGCAAGCATAAGGTGATGGAACACCTAAAAATAATAGAAATACTAATCTTGTTATACCTAAACGTAGAATAACAAACTCTCTACAAGAGATCTTTCTCATACAATGCAGTCAGTATATTGGCTTAATTCTCAGACTTTGTAACGCCATTCATGCAAATTTTACAGGAGAAGCAAAAACTAAATAATATATTTTTGGGAAGAACTTACGTATATTTCTAAAGTAGTAACATGAGAAAAAAAAATTGTTGGAATTACACCTACCAATGGATTCATTTGTAAATTTTACATTAGATGGCAATTAAATCAATTTTTGACCAAAAATAGAGTTAAGCCATTTGTGAATTAAAGTGATGATATACAACTACCTAAACAATTTAAAAATAAAACTACAAAAGTACTGAAAAAATGTCTTTTGTTTTAATATGGATTATTATTATTGTTAAGTACAGGCAAGCGACATAGTTGATGCAAGCTGCTCTTTTAGTTAGTGACAAAAATTATTCTAAATTACCTACATGACAGTTAAAACTTAATATACTAAACTATAATGAATAAAATTATTTCTTCCTTCTTCAAGTTCTTTATCCACTCCCACCTTTAACTGGTTTATTTTCTGGGCTGAGACTGTTTGTTCCTGTAGACCATTCCACAGATATATTTATTTATTTATTCGTGGGCCTTGCCCACTTTCAGTACAAAGTTACAAATAACAAAAAAACCTGAAATAGAGTCAATCTAAATAATATGACATAATAATGATAAACTAATAATAATAATAATAAACACTCTTATTTGACTTGTCCAAAGCTTTTGACACAATTGATGATACAACTTTAGCATCTCATGGAACTTCTCCAGATGAGCTGCAGAAGAAGCTTCACTTAGTAGCTTCAGATTTTTCAACTTGGTGCAATAAAAATTTCTTAATCTTAAATTCTGATAAAACAATTGCTCTTCAGTTTTTTTTCAAGGAATAGAATTTATGATAATATATGTGTAAAGGTAAATTGCAATGATGTCTACTTGTCGCAGAAAACAAAATTTCTGGGGGTACTGCTAAATAGTGATATGAGCTGGGAATCAAGTATTAATTACATTTGTAAAAAGGTTAATAGTGGTTGTTATGCTCTACTTCAATTAAAACAGATATTTACATTTAACCAACTTCTACAGGTATATTATGCAATTGTATATTCACACATATGATACAATATTACAAATTCTCCTGCGGTTACAAGAGTATTTATTGCACAAAAAAGAGCAATTAAACTTATCTGGAATCAAGACACACATGCAGGGATCATTTTATTAAATATCACATACTCTACCCTCAGTATATATATTTATCCAATATACAAAAAAAATGAAGCTAATTTTTTCAGGAACAATGATTGTCACAACTATCCTACTCGTAATGGCAATATGTTATGTACAATTAGGCATGTATCTGCTCTCTATGAACATAGTCCTGAGTATGAATTATTTAATAAACTGCCAGGTGATATTAAACCCATAAAATCCATTAACAGCTTTAAACAAACATTAAAAATTTTTTTAGGATTATTACTAGGTAACGTAATATATATATATATATATATATATATATATATATATATATATATGTGTGTGTATGTATATGTGTATGTATGTATATGTATATTTAAATGTAGATTTTAAACTGTGTTTTAACCACTACATGTATCTTGACATATCCTACAGCATTGTATAGTGATTAAAAAGGACCAATAAAGATTTATTGTTATTATTATTATAACAACAAAAATCGTAAACATATTAACATGTACAAAATCGAAACAACTTATATTAAGACTAGGAAATTTAGGTCACAGTAAGTTTTAACGCCCTCCCAAAATTAGAAAAGCTGGAATTAAAAAATTCTAGACTATCAGCACAAGCATTAGTGCTTCGTGAAACTCTAGGCATGAATGATATTACATCACAGATGTAATATCCGCTGGTCCACTTGTAAGTTTCTATCAAGTCTCCTTTAGTTCTTCTATCCTTTAAACTTGAAAGTTGTAGTTTGGCTAGCTGATCACAATACTCATTGTTTTGTAGGGTTGTTTATGTATTGTTAATTTTCTTATTGCATATTTCTGTAAAAAGTTTCTATTAATTAATTTAAGTCTAAATAACAATATCTATAAGTGTTTGTATTTGGCACTCGTTTGAGTGGAAGAGCTAGACTGGACTCCATGGCGGATTATTAAAATAAAGACGTTTATTATTACAATTAATAACTCTTATAATATTCCAAACTCCTCTGATATTTAAATTCCCTCTGACAATTTTCTAAAATCAACAACTCTGACATCCTGATTTATACATAAAATTTGGATCCTCCAGTTTTTGACAAATTTTGATGCATTTTATTGTTACATTCTTTCCATATTAAATACCCCAAATTGATTGTGAAATATACTGTGAACAATGAATTTAATTACTTTTTTTTTTAATATTAAAATTCCCTCGTTTGGTCATATTTTCCCATTATTGTTAATTTCGTCCATTTTTTTTTCTTTCTGCACAAACTATTAACAATTTTTTTCAACTTCTTGTAATCTTGATAACTATAACTAAATCATCATTATTAAATGTACTAAATCATACATTACATTCTAAATATCCTCCTTACTTTCTCATCTATGTACTTTAATTTATTATTTTTCTTAATTTATAATATTTTTAATTTGCACATTCAATGCTTTACATTTTCTCTTTAAAATCTTCCCATTTCATACATTATCTTATTGTTATACTGCATTAATTAACTTTATACTGCACATAATACCACATTATTTCATTGCCCAGCATTATTTAATAATATTATTTCATATGCAGCATTTATTTATTATTATTATTATTATTATTATTCGCTCCGTGCGAAGTCATGGAAAGGGAAGCAAAAGCGATACTAGCGCTAGCTGCGGATAATTCCTACATTTTAGGGCGATATTTTGTAATTTTGGCATATCAAATACAAGTATACATTTAATTTTTTTTCAAAAAAGTAGGTAAAACCAATACAATAAGCAACCGAAGTTGCTGTGTTGAAAACTGTACAAAGACTACCAAAAAAAAAATGAAAATTTCAGTAGCAAAGTGGAAATTAAATATATATCTCGTTTATTTAGCAAAGCTAATAGTACATTACAAATAAATAAAATTACAAAAAATATTTATCTATATCTAAAATATAAAATATAACACTAAAATATCACAGATGCTGGCTCGTTAACATATAATCTCTTAGTTTATATTTAAAGGTATTAAATGAGGCGACATTTCGGAGTTCTAAGGGTATCTCATTAAAAGCTTGAAGTTCCTTAAAAAATATTGAATTTTGGGACTGTTTACGTGCAACTTGTGGAATATGAAAATTAGATCTATTTCTTGTGTTATAGTTATGATAGTCAAAGTTGTAATTGATTTTATCAAGTAAATAAAAGGGGACCAGTCCATGTTTAATTTTATAAATGAATATTAAAGTTAAGTACAGAAAATAGTTTTTAACAGAAAGCCATTTCAAATTTTGTAACATACCTAATATATTGGTCCTTCTATCACATGACAATAATATCCTCATTGCTCTATTTTGTAATTTCTGAAGTCTGTTGGTTTCATTCTGATTAAGTAAATACATAATGGTGGCACAATAAGTGAAATGAGGCAAAACTATACTGTTATATAAAAGAATCAATGACCATTTATTAATATATTTTGAGCACCGGTATAAGTAGTTGACTTTAAACGCTACTGTTTTAATGATATAGTTTGCATGATCTTTAAAAAACAACATATGGTCTACTATTACTCCCAGATATTTAATTTTTTTTACGACTTCAATGACATCATTTTCAATACTAATTTTCATATTATTTTCAGTAAATTCATTGTAATACCTAACATTCCCGATAATCATAAATTTAGTTTTGTTAATATTTACTTTTAACGAATTAAAACAACACCAATAATATATTTGCTTTAATGTGGTATTTATAGTAGCGGTTACTTCCTGTAAATTATTAGCAGAATAATACAGCAGAGTATCATCTGCAAACATATGTATGGAGCAACCACCTGCAACTTGAGAAATATCATCAATATATAGAAGGAACAATAGTGAGCCCAATACACTCCCCTGTGGTACGCCTAATTCATTATTTTGTTCTTTTGATAAAATGTTTTTAAACCTTAATTTTTGTTTTCTATTGTCCAGGTAATTTATAAGCCATTCTAGTGAATTTTCAATAATACCAAAACTTTTTAACTTTTTAATCAGTAGAGATCGATTTACCGTTTCAAATGCTCTTTGTAGGTCTAAAAAAAGAGCACCTGTAATTAACTTGTTGTCAAGATTCTGTTTCCAGTCATTTAATACATATTGTAGTGCAGTCTCGCAGCTGTGTTTACCCCGAAATCCTGATTGATTACTATTAAACATATTATTTTCTTCCAAATATTCAATAAGTTGATTATATACTACTTTATCTAAAAATTTTTCTTCTGTACATAACATATTAATAGGACGTAAGTCCACTGCCCTATTTGAATTCTCAACCTTAGCTATTGGTGTTATTATTGAAATTTTTAGATCGTCTGGAACAGTATTAGTCTCTAACGAGGAATTTATTATATTTATCAATGGCTTAGCAATATTTTCGAAACAGTACATTAATTTCATCAGGACTTCCTTTATTCGACATATCAAAAACAATTTCTTTTAAAGTATCAAAACTAATAAGATTAAACTTTTTAAGACTTACATTATCATTTTTAACAATAATGGGAAAATCATTAACGTTCTGATTTATATTAGATACTAAGTCAATTATACTATCAATGTAATATGTGTTAAGTGCATCTGGCATTTCAATTATATCTTTTATAATTAAATTT